CAACATTCTTGGCTAATGTCACCGGATCACACCAAGCGTCTGCCGATCTAACAACTCCCATTCTGATCGCTCCATGTCGGTTGGCTTCGCCCGTCAAGGGTAGATGCAACTTCTTCTGATACGGATAATCTTCCATCTCGCATCTTCCGTAACCCGAAGTCACCGCCATCGAACTTCTCGATCCTCACCTTTCCTTCTTCCAATGCCATTGCTCTCACCGCTTTCGAAGAAAGCTCCCACCGCTTCTCTAAACCGAGATTCCCAAGAAAAAAGACCAAATCTTTTCTCGATGTGGAAGATCGGACAAAGCCGCAACCACAGAGCATACTAAGAAAATTGGCTCTTGATACCAATTGTTAGGAACAAGACAATAATAAAGGAAAGAATAAAGGAGAGAAAAATAAACGACACAAGAATTTTAACGTGGTTCGGCTAAAATATGTATGCCTACGTCCACGACTACACTAGGAAGTATTTTTATTTCTGTGTGTATCTCAAACTTTACATAGGGTTGCTTATATAACAAAATAGAGAATCTCATCTCACAATCCTAATCGATGTGGGACTAAATCAAGCACCATAATACTAACAGATAATAATGTCAAGTTTAAAGATAAGAAAGTTATTGAAAGAAATAAGAGGGGAGATTGATGGAAATGTCCCTACATTCCCAATAGATGATTTTGATTATGATTCAAGTCAACTACATTCAAGTCAACACCATTCAAGATGAATTGAATTAAGGACATCAAGATGAATTAAGGTCAAGCTGAATTAAAGACGTTGGTGACAATGTGAAACATTTCTCTATATGCCCAAGATATGATTTTGATAAAGATGATGATTCAAGCAAACCCAAAATTATTCCTCAAGACTAAATAGAGTCTTAGAATACTGGATATGGAGGTACAAGTTGATGAAGTCGTATTATGCATAAGCCTCCAAAGCACAAGTGTGATAAAATTTCGTAACATGATATTTTTCACTGTCATAATCAATTATGATGCATCAAAAATGGAAAAATGATTTTCTTTGTCATAATTGATTATAATGGTAACATAATCAATTATGACAATTCAAATTTGAAAAATATATCCGTTTTGAATAATAAATGTTTTTGAATACATCATGATTTCTCTATGATATTATTAATGACCAACAATTATTTTCTGATGTTATTTTTCTATTTAATTAAGTTTTGATGGAAAATAAAAAACACATAATTACCAAAACCCTCTTCTCCATTGCCTACTGTGCTTTCATTGTTAATCACACTTGTTCTTGGAGGTTGACATTCTACAGGCTTCTATACTTTGTTGTCTCCATTACCCAGGTGTGACTATTCTTATTTTATTACCTTTATCCTTTTGTGGGTTTAAGAGGTTTAAGTTAATCAATGTTATTTTAGGGTTTCCTGTGTGGGAATTGTTCATCCCTTTGATTTGTTCAGGGAGGTGTTAATCCCTAGTGTGATTCTAGGGAGATGTTCATCTTTAGTGGGATTCTAAGGAGGTGTTTTCATCATTTGATTTATTCAGAGGAGGTATTCATCCCTAGTAGGATTTTAGGGAGGTATTCATCCTTAGTGAGTTTCTAAGGAGGTGATTGTCTTTTGAATTAGTTTGCTTTTTTGTTGAGTTGATTATAATTTGTGAACTGAATTTAAAAGATAGTGAATTGAGGTCACTCTTGTGTTAAGGGTTGACTGGGAACTAGATGTAGGGTTGACTATACCCGAACTAGTATAAATTACTGTGTGTTTTTCTCTTCCTTATACCTCTGTGATAACATCAACTTATTTCATTTCCCTTATCTCTCTGATTATATCGCTTCTGCTGTTCAATTTGATAATTAAAATTGAATTAATAAATATTAGGATATCTTAAAATAAATTTTTAATTTGACATCTATTTTAATTTGTATATCTATTCACCCCCTCTATATGTCATTTATCTAACAGTTGTCACAAGTTAGTCTTTTTTTGCCCAATCTATAAAAAACATAAGGTAACCAAGTATAAACAATACACTCCTTGAAATACTAGTAGATAATGGATCTTACAAAAGATTTTCAAACTAGACTTGGTGTGTGCACCACCACCTCTACCATCTTCAACTCATGTTGATACCACCAAGTACTATCATTTTCATCAGAATTACGGACATATTACCGACTAGTGCCAATGAGTCAAAGATATAATTGAAGAACTCATTCGATCTGGTTTGCTTACACACTTCACTTGCAACGAATCAAAGTTGTACCTTACTCAAAGTCACACAAGTATAAAAGTTGTACTTTATTCAGGATCACACGAGTATAAAATTTATACCTTACTTGGGGTTACACAAGTATAAGAATTGTACCATACTCAGGGTTATACGAGTATAAAAATTATACCTTACTTATGATCATATGAGTATAAAAGTTGTACTTTTCTTGGGATCACACAAGTATAAAAATTATACTTTACTTGGGGTCACACGAGTATACAAGTTGTACCTTGCTTAAGGTCACACGAGTATAAAAAAATGTAACTTACTTACGGTCACGCGAGTTATAAAAGTTATATCTAATTCAGGGTCACACAAGTTATAAAGGTTATACCTTACTTAGGATTACACGAGTTGTACGTACCTTACTCAAGGTAACACGAGTTATACATACCTTACTCAGGTATGAGTTATCAAAACCTTCATCTACTTTACTTGGAGTCACACAAGTTATATATACCTTACTCAAGTATAAGAGTTATCAAAACATATATCTACTTTACTCAGGGTCACACAAGTATACATATTATATTTGGGTGTACAAGTTATCAAAATCTACATCTCAAAAACTTTACTCAAAGTCATGAGTCTAACATGTGCATAGTTTACTAACACATGCACAATTTACGAATGAGATGATTTGTAACTTCATAACCATAGTACAAGCACATGACAAATCAACAAAGGTTTGTTTTGGCTGAGGAGAGGGGAGAGTCTTCTCTCAAAATATCACTTGAGGTCATTTGGTCTACACAAGACTATCTTCTTAAGCTCAGAGGCTAATGGGAGCCCTATGGAGCTCCTGTCTCCTTTTCCTAAAGTTTTTTACTCATTATTTTTGTATGACAAATAGATAGGCTATATTGAATAAATCTCACGAATATATTTTGATCTAACTGAATAATGGTTTATAAGATAACCATGTTCAAACTAAACCTTACTTGTCTACACGAGGAAATGATCCACTCACCTTTAAACTCGTTTAATCTATATTCTTAAATGTATTCAACCTCCGAGTTTGGCGGATTTGTATACATGCTCTGCCCAAATCTATTAAAATCACTTTATTTATTTAATTATTTTGTTACCTATAATCTTATTAATTATCTTTTATCGGTTATTATTTTATATAATATCTTATATCAATTATTATATTTTGAATTATAAGTTATTATCTTTTTTTTATTATTATTTTTAAGTCTTTTATAAAGATATTTGTCGAAGGTGAATACTATTTTGAAGTCATAGTTCAACAATTTCTATCATTTTTTTTTTAATTTTTTTGTTTTCATTTTCTATAATTAATTTATTTTAGTTACATTTAACTATTAAAGTTTACCCTTTTGAAACGTACTAGTACACAACTATTAAAATATGTGTAAACCTACCAATAATACATGGAATTCATGTTAAGAAAATATCAAATTTTGATGGTTTTCTTTAAACACCCGTATCATCGTATTAATATGAATAATTTTTTTAAATTTAAAAAATAATTAAATAATTTATATTATTATTAGGGATGTCAAAATAAACTTAGTTTGATTAACCGAAAAGTTCAAGAAATAGGTTAAGCTATACAAAATCATTTGTGACTTAAATTGAATCAAATATATTTAGTCAACCTATATAGGTTATGATCTACATAGGTTTAAGTTAGACTAGTGCGTAAATTTTTAGTTCGATCAATTTTATAAAATAATAATAATTTTTGAATAAAATAAAAGTAATATTATTTTATAAAAAATATATTTATTATAAATTAATTTGAAAATAAATTCACTTATTCTAAGAGTAAATATTAACATAAATCTCTAATAATAATTTATTCCAATATTTAATAATTAAGATTAATTATTATTATAAATTATTAAAAAATAAATAATAATAATAATAATAATAATTAAGAGTAAGTTTTTAATTTTTATTTTAAAATTAAATACATATATTTTCTTATCATTTATATATTAAATTATTATATCTTAAATAACAATTAATTTTATTAATAAAATTTCAATTTTTTTACTTTTTTATTTAAATATTTTTTAATTAATTTTAAATAAATATGTTAATATTTAAAAAACAAATTAATCAGATCAAAATTAACCCATTTACCGTTAATCTAACTTATAACCAAATTAAAATAAAATGTTTAACCCGTTTAAAATATAGGTTAGATTACCCTATACCATCTAATTTTTTTACTTACCACGTCACCGTCCCTTTTCATAACTCTAATTATTATATTAATATATATATATATATATATATATATATTATAATTATATTTTATTTGGATAAGAGTATTTATTTTTAAAATTATAATTTATAATTAAATAAAAATATAATTAGTTAGTAAGTAGTAATATATAAAATAATAATAAAAAAATTAAATATAAATATACAAAATTAAAAAAATAATAATGTAATTTTTAATATATATTTTATATAATAATATTTTATTTGGAATAATTTTTTTTATTAGAATTAATTAATCAAAATATTTTGTAATATAATATATCTTTAAAAAGAAAAATTAAGGAAAAATAGTGTATCTTTTACAGAACCTATTATTTTGCCTTCAAATCTTCAATGGAGAATGTAGGTTTATTTCTTTTCAAATCATTAACTTTTATACAACCTATTCTTTGGCTACATAGGCTAAATGTTGAGACTAACTAAAATTTGTATTGAGTTCTGACAGAGGAGAGAAGTGGCACATTACATTTCATGGCTTTCGTTTCTTCCCCTCCCTTTGCGTTACAGGACACAGACTCAAAGCCCTGTGATGCGGAATCAGCAGAACGAGTGACCCTTTTGATTAAGCACCTACCAGAAGCCATTCCTCATGACACCCTTTATCGAATCTTCACCAATTTCGGTGCTTTCTCAGTGCGTCCTTGCTCTAGTGCCAGGTATTTAACTGCAAGAGGTTTTGATTTTCCCACTTCTTTTTTTGCAATTTGAAGGTCTTAGGTTTTTGAACATGGCTATGGAGTGTTTCTTTTTCACTCAGTTAATCTAGTAATTTAATCCGTTGGAGTATTTTCCATTAGGAGTATACCCGAAACTGGAATTGTGGTTGTTCGGAGGATGTGATGACAATGCTTCAGAAAGGATATTTGATTGCGATAGTTTTAGCAGTTATGGCATTTGGTTGATTTCCCAATTGTTACTTTACGCTGAGCAATTGATGGGTATTATCATTGATTACATTTTGGTCTGGATTTTATAAGTATTATACTGACTTGAAGTATCAGCTTGTGTGCATATTATCCTTTTACTGCTCCACTGCCATGGGACACATACGATTGTTAGAGTAAGTTGAAGTCAAGAATATTCTATTTTTCCCATCCTTGTCACCAGTGTCTCAATTGTCTCAACTTTCTGGTTGGGCTACACCTTTGGACTAGTAGATGAAGCAGTAAACCCAACTGGTGGGGCTGTCTGCCACATCTGTAGCAACAATTGCATTGTTCCATATATTCTTAACATGGATTTGTTTGACCCAATAGCTGATAATGCTAGAGGAATTATAGAGATGAGTGGGCAGCGTATAAGTGCCCAAGGAATGACTAACGTCCTTGATGCCATAGGAACAGAACCAAAGCTTCCACCAAAGGATTTGCTATCGGTTTTGCTGCTCTTGCATCTGTCCTTTAGTGCTTATATGGACGAGGTTTATGCATGTGGTCATGGAATCTTTTAAACAGATTGATATCGCAATTTCTGAACTTTTCATTATTGAGTTACTGGCTTTCCTGCTTATAATTGACTTTAGTGCTTGGGACTGTTTGTTTACTGCACAAGAGGTTGGAAACAATTTGAGAGGGCAATTCATGGAGAGACCTAGTACAATGGAGTACACAAACAAACCAAATTAGTTGTTGTGTTGCTATTGTAGCGTCTACATCACTGAGAAACATGATAAAGCCAGGTGTTTTGGCAATCATTTCACCTATTGTAGTTGCTCTTCTTTTCCAAATTCTGGGTTACTATACAGATTGCCATATAGTTAAGGCCAAAATTATGGCTTCTTTGCTTATGTTTGCAATACTGTCAGGTATGCTTATGGCAATTTTCCTGAACCCAGCTGGTGGTGTCTGGAATTATGAAAAGAAGTAAATTGGAACTGGAGCCCTAGGAGGCAGGGAAAGTTATGCTCACAAAGCATCCATAAGAAGCGACATTGACTTTCCTGTTGCATTGAGCTTTGAGAAGTTGCAGCATCTAGTAGAGAGCTGATCCCTTTCCCCTATACCTTGAGGCAAGGCAGAATATAAAGGAGGTGGTATTGATAAGATCATGACCATGGGCCCGAACGTAAAGGCTTACATAACTGCCTTATGAATAGGAAGGAGTGAATAGGTATTTATAGAGAGAGAAAAAGACAATAATATACAGTCTGTTATATATGGTGAGGAGAAAAGGAAAGTCGCACTAAGGTTGTTCTTTCAATTTGGGAGTCTAGAGTGTATACTCTGACTTGGGCAGAGAAGGACCTTTTCTTCTCTGAAGAGCCTTTGCTCTAGGATTGCAAGGGTTTATCTGGTAATAATTCATATTTTTCTCGATCAATAAGATAGTTGTCAGCATATGTTAAATTGGATTCCCATCATAAACTTACTTTGCTGAACCTAGTTTTTGTGCTTGGTAGTGCTTCCAAGTCATTCATACATATTCCTCATTTAATGTCATGGAAGATCTGAATGACATTTCGCCATTTTATTATTTTTTTTCCAACTTATTTGTGCTTATGAACATTGCCAAATGATGGTTTAATCTTAATTTCTTGATCTAATGCAGGTTGAAAAATAGTGCTTTTGTGGATTTCAAAAATGAAATTATGGCATCTCAAGCACAACGTCAACTAAATGGGTATTATTAATTGAACCATATTATTTTTTTATATATATTTGAAATATTGAAATTCATATTTGAAGAGACAGCCTTGGCATATAGTTTTCTTGTTTGGTTTTACTTTGTAGCAATCTATTTTGATACTTTTTGAATTTGCTCCTCATGTTGCAACACTATAAAGAACACTAAATATTTGTTTAAAATTATTGTATCTTTGTTTACTTGGAATTAATCAGGTTGAGATTTCTTGGTAAAGTCTTGTCAGCAGAGAGAGCTAATAACCTAACTGGTGAAAAAAGTAGCGAAGATCAGTTGGGTAAGGACTCTAAAACATCAATGCTGAAGAATGCAAATTTAACCAAACCCATTGATGGAGATACAAAATCAAGAGGTCTCCCGGTTCCAGAGCCAATTGCTGATAGACTTGGTGTCAATTATCCTTTTCCTCCTCATCTTGAGTATGCTGCTGCTTCTTATTTTGAAGTTCTTGTTAGTATTTGTTGCCTTATTGCAAAAAGCAATGCTAGGTGCCAACTGGAACACAAATATTATTAATTTGTTAACAAAATGAAATGAGGTGATTCATGAGAAAAAAAAATGAAAGAAAATTGTGGTGAAATCAGAGGAAAAGGTTAAGAAACCTATGGTCATGCTGTTGAGGTTGATTGGGTATATTCTAGAATCAATTTGAAAGAATTATTGTAAGAATTTTGTTGAACTCAGATTAATTGGTGTAGTTATTGTGCCTTTTCATTTTCATAGCTGTTAGAACGAACATTTGGAGTGAAAACTAGGATAACCATGGATTGCTTTATCAAATGTTTTTTAGGGATGACTCCCACTAAATAAAGTTAGTTTTTAGTGTTATGCTGCTAAATAAATTAGTGATATACATTTAAGATTGTTAAACATATCTACTAATACTATTATGTATCCTAATATTAATCATGGATGGTACGGCATTATGTATGATAATGAGTTTGTATATAATCTAACAAAACTTGTTTACCAGGTATGCTTACCCTCCACCTGATGGAAATATATTGACCAACATTGTGAATGCTCTAATTGCTGTTCCCCGCTTTTACACTCAGGTTGTTCAAGCATTACTTGAAGCTGCTAAAGAATTTTTGGTTTCTTTTTCAATAGCCTGTAACTTTTCCTGTCAGCTTGTTTTGTACTGAACTGACCAAAAGTAGTAATTGTATCGATTATACCTCTACAATGCAGGTTCTACACTTGATGAACAAAATGAACATTCCGGCTCCATTTCGAATGGCTTTGCCCACTCCTCCATTGCCTCCAGAGGCACCAGTACCACCTCCACCTCCTACTGTAACTGCAAATCCTCAGTCTTCTGATCTGTCCAGTAGCGAATCGGAGATGGAATCTTCTGAAGAGGTAACATCTTCACTGCTTTCAGAATTGGTAACATCCTTTATAGTTGCATATGCAGATTGCCTAAATATTTCACAATTGGCAGAAATCATTTATGTTCCTTTGTTGATAACCTGCTACAAGTCTAATGTATTTTTAAGGTAATATTTCATAGAAAATTCCTTTTGTCACAATGTGCTTATGCTGCAGTTTCCTGTTGTTGTTCAGCTTGAAAACATTTTTTTTAAGACATTATTTTAATTGAATATCAAAATATAAAATTCAAAGGCATTAGGAGATATTTTTTTCCTATCTCTTTAGTCAAATTTGTTATCTTTTGAAATTAATAACGAGCTTATAGGAGTATGAAGCAAACACCAAAAGATCTGGACAAAAGCGTGCAAGGCATGAGACCATTGTTGGCCCTGCTATTGATAAAGGCGTGGCTCATGAGTCTGTTGGAGTAAAACCAGCAACCTTGGTCCCAAAAGAAATCCCTATAATAAAAAAGAACCATGTCTTAAAGGTATTTCTTTCTTCAAGACTGGTTTTTGGAGAACTATTAACTATGATTTCAACATTTCATTTTTGTTTTGCATTATGATTTTACAGATAAACATTGTCCCCAAATCAACAGTAAACGAACATAAATATGATGAGACATCACAAGAGTTACAAGAGCCAGAAAAAGATGTTCCAAACCCTAACAAATTTTTGACTGCAGAAGAATTAGAGAAAGGAAAGTTGCCTCCGGAGGAAATCTTATCCCTTCCAATGTTTAAGGTAAGGATACAAATATCTGCATTTACGGTTCCATTCTACTACTAGGTTGCAACAAGAAGAAACAAGCTTTACACCACTCTGGAAATCCTACAATTTTTATTTTCCAATGTAGTCTCTCTGCTGGTTGATTGAAAAAAAATATTATTGTTACTGTAAGAATCATGATTTATTATGTGCCTGAGGACTAGTTGTGGGATTTAACTGGTGCAACAATTTTGTGCATTGATTTATAAATAAGAACAATTTGCTTCAAAGATCTTGAAACAAGACACAATATACTTGTCTTAAGGAATTCACCTACTATTTCTATTTTTTATTTTATTTTGTACATGATATTATTATTAGTGCTCTGTTGCTAGATGTAATGTATATTATCTATCAATTTTTTCACAAGATTTTGAGTTGGTCTAGAGAAGGCTAGATGTAGTTATATCTAATTAAATGTAGGACTAGTTTGGTTGGAAAATTTTGTCTTTTATTGCCTGTTTTCACAAATATTTAATGTCCATACAATGACAGTGAACATTTGTTTCACACTGTCATGTAATCATAAACCACCATTCGATTGACTTTTAGGTAATTACTGTAAAATTCAACAAACTTACCTTACATGATGGTTTATGAATGAATGACTGTATAAAACTGTTTTGCTCTGTTAGTGCATATGCTTTTTTCTCTGACAAAAAGGCTATCTTTCTTTCATTTTGTTTCACTGTTTCCACCACTTCCTATACAAATATTAGAAAACAAAGAAACAAAATTAAAGAAAAAGGTGGCAATTTTGTAATTGTATGTAAAAATAGAAAATACATCCAGAAAGTTTTCTCCAAACTAAACAAGTCCTAAAATATCTTATTGGACTATTTTTCATTAGGTGATTACCTATTGAAATCAGTTTGCAGAAGCCTGGTTGAGCTAGTGAAAGAAGGATTTAGATCTTGTTTACCTTTGTCCCTACTATTCTCTAAGTGGCCGTGTTGTCAAATAGTTCCTCTTTTCTTATAAGAGCAAGCAAGTACTTTGGAAATTAAAATCATGCATGATTTAATAGTCTGAAAATTTTAGGTATTTGAGACTGATATTATGCATGGAAATACATTATATAAGCTCCAGAATTGATATCAGTCCAGGGATCATGTATAGATTTTCATGAAAAAAAGAAAAAGAGAGATAGAGATAGAGAGAGAGAGAGAGAGAAACTAACCTTACTGTTTTCTTCCCCTTTCTCAGCCACCACTACCCTTTATATTGCCCTCCCTACTGAATTCTCCTCTGATTCATTCTCTTTCTACACCTGTCCATTTCATCAAGCTGCACCCCCTGATGTGAATATTCTTCAGTATTTCCTCCTGACCCTTGAGGCATGATTCTCTGCTTCTCACCTTATTTCCTACAGTATCATGACTTCTGATAGGTCGATAAAGAAAGTATTAGAGCTTCCATGATGCACAAATGGGGTTTTTTTTAACTGATTGATTGTGTTGTGCAGAACTATACAGCTGGAAACCCTGCTCCTGTGTTGTATGTAAAGAATTTGGCAAAAGATGTGATTGCTGATGATTTCTATTTTATATTTGGTAAGCTCTCAAGACTTTTAATTGATTCAGGTGTTGTTTAATAATTGTCACATGCACTTTGAATGTTTTACAATCCAAAAAGAAAACATAATGATATAATAAAAATAGTGAAATGAAATACTTCGAGATTTTCATAATATAGTGTTATATATTGTTTGAATGTAACCTTCGCAGTTTACCTTAATTGACCTTTATTGCTACAGGGACCTTGTTTGGAAGTGTTGAGGCTGCTAAGTTTGGTCTTCAAGTCAAACTAATGCAGGTAAGACTTCAACATTCCATAAACAACTTTTCCTGTTGAGGCTATACCAAAATAGATCCAAATTAAATATGGTCTATTTGTGATATGATCCAGTTTATTAACATGCCGGGTTACATGATTTTGAGTGCTGACTCAACTAACCTGTATTTATATCCCCATGAAAGACTTGCATTAGCATATCTGTGAGACTGAAATTGATAGTTTGTTTTCACTTTCAGGAAGGACGAATGAGAGGTCAAGCATTTCTGACATTCCCCTCAATTGAATTGGCTCATCATGCTCTGGTATGTTTCGCATAGGAGATTAGTTGTACTCTTTTTAATCGTTTTAATCAAGATGATTTATGTTTTCAGATTTTTCTGCTGTTTCTTTTCTTTTGTTTGATAGTGACTGCAGCAAGTATAGTTTGACATGCTAATACTATTAATCTTAATTTTCAATAACTGTACCAATTCCAATTTTTCCAAATTTTTCATCAACTTATTTTCTTAGTTGTTTTAGTAATGGTTTATATTTCATATTTACCGTTTCTCAGAATCTGGTGAATGGATATGTATTAAAAGGAAAGCCAATGATTATACAGTTTGGTCGAAATCCCGCTGCTGCTAAGGCAACTTAGCTCAATCGAGACTGGAATTACTCATTGCTTGATTGCATGAATTGATGTTAACAACAGCTGACTAATGATGCATTCTTCATTCACTCGTAGAGGACTCTGCACTAAACCACTGAGACCACAACATTCAGCAATGCCAGTGATATGAATGCTGACATATATACTCTCTTGGGTTTATAGATGGCTATATGAATCTAGATTTCACATTGTTGGCAATAGGCTTTGTAAATGCAGACCAATCCCGTGTGTATTATTCCTGCAGGCCGGTCTACAGTAGTATAGGAATGATTTTTAAATGTTTTATATATTCAAATTAGAGTAGGATATTGGTTAAATGGATTAGGAAATATATGATTTCTTGGTTCATTTTTCGCTCTGGAAGCAAAAGTGTAGGGAGCTTGAATCTAGAAAACATGCAGGGTTTGCCATTGTGAAATGCCAACATCCCAAAAAAGACATATTCTTGTATTGCATATGGTTTTTGGTAGAAAAGTTTTTGCAACTAAGGTAGTACGAATTGACAGTTAATACATCAAAAACAAAAAACAGTGATAGTGTACTATTGCTTCTCGGAAGCTAAGATAAATGGCAAACAGAATCAATTTCTGCATGTTTGTTTTTTCACTTTTTAACTACTACAGCACTAGAAAATAAGTAAATAGTTTAACATGTTTGCAAAGCTTTCAAAACAGGTTATACCATATATAACCGAGAAGCACTTAATTGAAATGTCAACGACTATGTAACGACCCAGAGTTGAACATTTCAGGTGTAGTATAAAGGTGTATGAAGAAAAAAGCTACATTGACCATCCTTCCAACAAGAAAAATTATCCAACAATTCCCTTTATTAATATAATAATAATAAAATCTCAAATTTATATGTTTATTAATGAATTAGGTTGTGAATGTATTTGTTACGTGTGAACTAAGAATAATTTGGAACTGCGTGAGGATAACACAGTTGATAACCCAAGATCATTAACCCATGGTCAAATAAAAAGTAGATAGACACAGGATTTTTATTTTCTGCATCCTACAATTGTAATATATCCATCCATTATACCATCTTTCATTTATAACATGGAAGAAAGTAATTTTGAAGTGATTGTTTTTTTAAAGTTTTCCAAATTTGACATTTCAAAAGGTAACGAAAACGAAAGACCTAATCTAAATCAAGTTCACAACATTCCATAATATATTAAATTAGATTAGTGATAGAAAGTATACACTTGAAACAAATAAAATAAATTACAAGAATTAGAAATAAAAAAATATTGACAAATTTGTATATAAAAATTAAGAAGATATTTACAGTTTTTTTTTCTGTCATTCATCTATATATATTTTTTCTTTATTTTCAAATCATTCTCTTTAAAATATGATTTTATGAGTACGTTATCTTTGTTTATTTTATTATCTGCAAAAGAAATGCATTTTACATGTGTATCAAACGTATTCAATATGATTAAGAGATACTATTTTTTATTTAAAATAATATATTTATTATGTATTTTATAATGTATAATAAATAAACCATGAATCTATATTTGTATGTTATTAATATTTCATATAATATTGTTTTAGAATTTTCTTTTTATATTTGAAAATATAATCTAAAATAAATTAATATTTTATAAGTTTAAGCATACCTCACCTAAATCAATTCTCTTTCACATGGACTTAATATTATAAAATATTAATTTAGTACGAGTCTAAAATATTTTAGTAAATTTAAATAAGATTTTGTTTAATGGTGAATATTTGCACCCAACCAATATATTTAATATGAATTTTATTACAAATTGTTATATCTGAACAAATAAAAAAATTTAGAGATACGAAGATATATACTTGACATGACAGTTAAAAATAAAATTTTATAAGATTACATTAACAAATTGAAAAATTAGTATAAATCTAGTTTTCATATTCATAAATTACCTTTGTTCTAATATTTTTTATGCTTCACTTATAATTTTTCTTAATTTTCAAATAATTATCATTAAAATAACATTGTGTTATATTCTTTAAATATTTTGTATGATATTTATAATTTTATGCTTATTAGCATATTCGTTTTTAAAATTAAAATATTTTGCATTTAAACAAATAAAACATGAATAAATTATTTTTTTTATTCAATCATAAATTTATAACAGTATTATTAAACGTCGAAATCTCGGATTGTCAAAATTTAAAGTTAAAATCATTTTTTTTCAAACAAATAAATTTTGTATAAAATTTTTAATATATATTTTATAATATATAATAAAGAGAAAATAATGAATAATATTCATATGCTACTGTTCATTACTACTGTTTATAAATTATTTTATATTTAAAAATATAATGTAAAATAAATATTTATTTTCTAAATTTAAACACTCCTCAACTAAAATTAATTTCACTTAATATTATATAAATATTGATTTAATATCAATTTAAGATATTTTAAAAATTTTGAATTATTTTTAATTTTTATTAAATGAATATATTTCATCTGTATTTTATTAGAATTTTTAAATATTATCAAATTGCTTGTACAAATAAATGGATAAATCAAACTTCTGTCCAATTTTATTTATTTAATTATTTAAATTAATACAATTTCATATTATCTTTATATTATTATTAATAGTTTAAAAAAATTATTAAATATTATTTTATAAAAATTGTATATTTTTAAATTTATAAAATTTTATTAATAAACAGTAGAATAATTTTATTATTATTATTATTATGAGAAAACAATAACTAAAATTATATTATATTAAAAATATAAAAATATATCACAATTGAAATAAAAACAAATAAATAGTTATTTAGAATATTTAGGTTTCATAAATATGTTTTTTTTTCAATTCATCGATAAAAATGTTATGATATTTTTTTAATATTCTTCAGAAAGTCTGCCAAAAATATTTACATATTCACGTTAATATTAAAAATAAGATTGGTTTTAAAATTTTATAATATGTTTTGATAAAATAACTATTATATATTTTATAATAAAATATTATCAAACAAAAATATTATTTTTAATTTTTATATTATTATTATTATTATTATTATTATTATTTAATATTTAGAAATAAATAACATAATCTTATCATAAAAATTATAATATTTTTTCATCATATTTTAATAAATATAAATATATCATAAATATTTTATCTAAATAATAATAATATCATTATTATTATTTATTGTATTTATTATTATAATAATAATAGTTATTATTATTCTTTATTTATTTATTTATTATTATTATTATGGTAATAAAATAAGAATAATAGTAAAAATCATATTTAAATGTAATGATAATAATTATTGTCGCCGCCTCCCAAAAGGGGCGCGGTCGGTGCGACGCGATGGTTTTTTCGACCCTCTTGTTTTCGCGTTTTAAGGGTAGTTACAACGCCTTTAGGTTGTCCGATAACCGGGCTAACCTAGGGGCGAGGTTTTCGAAAGTATCCCTGGGTTGTCCGATAACCGGGCTAACCCAGGGACTTATTTAATTTGGGTTCTATGGAGTCGCCACCGATATTTTTACTATAAATATCGGAAAAGGGGTTTAAAAAAGGCGTTGGTTTTCGAAAACCAACTTTGGTCATTAGAACCAGAGTTGGGTAAGGGAGTTAGTTATGTGTAAAGGAAGTGTTAGTTCCTTTACGACGCCCCTTTCGGGTTCCCTATGATAGGCCGGCTACTTTGAATAAATAATTAAACTGGAAAATTGCGCTTTTACCCTTTTATTATGCGGAATTTAAGTTTATGACTACATGGCCCTAGCTCCTATTACGTAATTTAAACGGCAATAATAAAAATAGAGGGGGAGAATGTGCACCTCCAAAGCAAGCTTTTATATTTCTTTAAAGAGAGGGTGCGTTTTGCCAACCCTTCACTCTACAACTCTCAGAAACTCCGGAAATGCCTCGGAGGGATTCTAAAGAAGATTTAGAACGCTCAGTTTATGCCTAGAGACACTTAGAAACTCCGAAAATGTCTCGGAGGGATTCTTAGAGAGAGAAAGTTTAGAGAGAAGGGAGAGCTATGTTGCTTCTGTGTGGAAATGAGGGGGGGAGGACCCCTATTTATAGTTTTTCGCGTTTGACAGGTCGAGACCGTCGTTTCCTCTGACAGGGTCGAGACCGCCGTCTGGAAAGTCCAGACCGTCGTCTCGTTCATGGCAGAGGGTCGAGACCGCCGTCTGGATAATCCAGATCGTCGTCTCGACTAGGCAGGAATCGAGACCGCCGTCTGGAAAATCCAGACCGCCGTCTCGACTCTTGCAGGTGACGAGACCGCCGTCTGGTCAATCGAGACGACGGTCTCGGCCTGGCGTTGAGACGAGACGGCAGTCTCGTCCCTTCAGGGCGAGAAACTTTATTTTCGGGCCAAAAAACCTTCCTATCTTGGTACGGGGGCCTAATAGTCTCTCCTAATGACTTGTTAAGCTTCGACCGTCTTCAAATAGGACGCTTTCGACTTTATTTTGAGGCCGGGCAAGATTTGGGGTCTACAATTATTATAATAATACACATCGGTAACATTCAAGATATATATGATAAATATTTATATAATTTAGATATTTTAAAATATAGATTTCTTATTACTTATTGAAATATAAACAAAATGAAATTAATAAAAGTACATTAATTCTATTAACTTCAAGTCTAGTTCAGTGAGTCCAAACACTTACATGATTTGCTATCATGTCAATAAATGATTATGATAATTTAAACCAAGTAATAAAGTGACATTTTTCGAATTTAGTTTTCGTAGTTACATCATTGAGAAATTTATACAATTTTTTGTGTTGGGAAAAATTTTTAGTAAAAAATTCCACCGAACTCTTTTAGGCTCTATAATTTATTTTCTTCTTTTTAATAACAATTTTGCGTTTTTGAAATTCAATTTTTGTAGTTACGGAAGTTTTTGTCTTGGAGAAATAAAAAAAAAATCGATTGCACTCTTTCAAGATCGTGTTTTTCTTCTTAA